ACTTTTATTATTATATAGACTATTTTTACAACTAGATGATCTATATTCATCGTATATATATTTCTATATACATAATCTCACTATAATACTATTTTAAGTAACTATCTTAAAACAATTTTATTATCAGGATAAACCTGCTAGAGCCTTCTGTACCCACAATCTGGCTGATCTAGGCTTCAGTTGATACACACAGACCGAGGCCCACTACTTGCAGCCCAGTTTCCTGATCACCACTACACAACCTACTTCTACCTTTATAGAGTTTACCCAAACCCCGATACACACTTACAGACTATTTATTAGTATTTCTAACTATCCCAAACTACTAATCCAGATGGCCCGGAAAGGCTGTGACTTGCCTCTGATCACCACGGTTGGGACCTTTTTCTCGGGCTACCCTCTGGCGGCCTGGTTGGTGGAGTACTTTGCTAAGTACTTCGGTCTCGTTCAGTTTTTACCAGTTCTTCAAATATCAATCTGTATGTAGTATCATTGAAGATCTGTGCTACCTCTCTATTCAGGACTTCCCAAGTGAATGCCTCACTGCTGTATCGGCTCTGTGGCTTTTTGCAATTCTGAAGGACTTATCTTAGATTTGCACTGACTAAACTAGCTTGCATACTTTTGTGTAACTCCTTATTTTACACAAATATCCTGAGATCTTCCAGTTTCCGGCAAACCATAATTGGTATAACCACAGTTACAGGGTCTCGAGTTTTCCCAACCACGGCATTAGTTACCGAATTCTGTTTTTCTTAAAATCTAATTTTCGCTCTCTGTGAGAATTGAACTAATACTCAACCACTTGGGAGTATGACAACTTAAAGCTCTAGCCATCCGCCCTCCCCTTTCGTGCTTCTTGTAAAATTCTTATATAAAAAAAAAAATATTTGTTTAGGTGACTCGTGATTTGCCTATTAATTAATTAATAAAGTTTTAATATTACTAATATTATTATCTTCAATATCTTCACTATATTCCATATTTTTATTATCAACTGTATCTTTACTATCATTAATATCTTCAATATAATCAATATCATTACTGTTACTAATATCATTTTTAATATCTTTCTTATTACTAATACTATTATTAATATTATTATTATCAACTAAATTATTATTATTATAGATACCACAGTTATTTTAAGTTGTTGCACCCCAAGTAGTTGAGTATTGGTTCAATTCCTACAGAAAGCGAAAATTAAATTTTAAGAAAAACAGATTCTGTAACTATCATTGTGGCTGGGAAAACTCAAGACTCTGTAACTGTAGTCATACCAATTCATTGGAACAGGGAGATCTCGAGGCATTTGTGTGATATATAAGTTACATGAATCAATCTTTAGATTGCAGAAAGCCACAAGGCCGATATGGTAGTAGAACACTCGCTTGGCAAGTCCCGAACAGAGAGGTAATACAGATCTTTGATGGTACTATATAAAGAATTATCATTAGAAGAACTGGCAAAACTGAACAGGACCGAAATGTTTGGCAAGACACTTCACTAACCAGGCCACCGGAAGAGTAACCAGAGGAAAAAGACCTAACTGTGGGGATCAGGAGCAGGTTACAGCCCTTCTGAGCCATCTGAATTGGTAGTTTGGATAGTTTGGGATACTATAGATAGTCTGTAAAAGTGTGTACTGGAGTCTGGGTGAATTTTACAAAGGCAGAAGTAAGTAACTATAGCGGCTTTAGTTCGCAAGTACTTGTTTTCGGACTTGGGTATAAGTTACTAAAGCCTAGGCTAACCAGATTGTAGGTACAAGAAGCTCTAGCAGGTTTACCTCGAGAACAAAGGGCTCACTGGTCAAGCCTGTTTTAAAGTTCTAAATTGGTGTTCTTAAGGGATATATTCTAATTCAATTATATGAAAAGGTTGATCCCACATAAAGTGCAGAAGGTTTAAATAGATAACCCCCTAGTCAGGTTGCAGGTATAGTATCTAATATAGAACTTAGTAATAAGCAGACTACTTAAATAGGCAATCAAAAGTTGTACATGTGGCTAGTATGTATCCTCCAAATATGTATACTGTACGGGCACTGAAAAGGGCTTAGCATATGGTAAAACGTTAATCAATAACTGAATAAAAAGAACTGACCAAGAGATCACTTTAATACCAAAAAAAAAAGTGATAATCGCAAATGGAAAGAAAACAAGACTGAAGAACAAACAAAAATAGAGAACTCAGCCCCATACA